GCATTCCTGAAATTTCTTCACAGCATTTATAAAAGTGTACATTATCACAAAATTGCCATGTGTTCACATTAACACAAAGAGGACCATCCTTGAAATCCACTAGGTACTACGAGAAGCGTGGGAATTCATAACTGGACTGTTATTGATGCATAAATTTCGATAGTAAATGTAAGAAGGAGATCCTTGAAAAGTGAAAACAAGACATTGTTGATGAAATGCAAGAAGTGGTGAAGAAGACCTTAGTCTCTAAAGGTCAAAAAAGTCTTTAAGCTTATTACACATTCGTGAAGTCGAAAAGGAAGCTTGATGAAATTAATTTTGAGGGTGCAGAGTGCAGTGCATGGGTGAAAAACAGAGTGGCCACACCCAATAAATACCCGTTACAGTCAAATCATATCAAAGCCAAACTGAAAACAAATAGAAAGAAGAAATGTCAATGGCAATGGCGACGAGTGTGTCTTCTTCACCTTCACCTGCAACCGCACTCTCTCTCCTCAGCCGCAAACATTCATCGCCGATTTCATGCATTCGTCTCTCTCGCTCCTCGTCTGCGTCGCTCTCCTACGCCTTCAATCCCCTTAGGTATCTCCATTCTCATCTCAATCTCTTTCGTTCCTCTTTTTCTCACTTCGCTTTTCCGCTTTTGTTTTAGGTCTTTCGTCGGAATCAGAAGCTTCGCCAAATCCAAGACCAGCGACCGAACCACAACGTTTCGTGTGCTCTGCTACGCTCCTGCTCCTTTCACTCCTCCCAATCTGCAATGGATCTCTGCTGTTTCTTCGCTGTTCGTTCTCTTACTTCTCTTTATTTCATCATTTTACTTTTTCAATCGCGCTATTTATTTATTTACTTACATACTGTTTTATACAAAATTTAATTTCATATCAGTTTTTATTATTATTTATTATTCTGCTCAGTGCTGACGACGAGTGATAGAAACATATTATTAATGAATAATTTTTCCTTTCTTGTCCTCAATACTTCAATTAATTTCCAAACAGAAATGTTTGTTATGGAGTATGGACTTATGATTGATTATTAGTAATTTGCATGTGACTTGATCTCATAATAGAAAGCTGCGATTCCTAGTTGTGGTTTTCACTCACGCTCTTTCTCTGTTGAATAATGCAAAATTCGGGACATTGTTTATAGGATTTTGATACTGGCGAAGGGCACTGCCGTGCCGAAATCGTATATTGTTCCGTTGTTTGCTTTGCAAGCACCTGTAGGTGTCGTTTCCTGGATCAAGTATGTTATTCATTCTTATGTTTTTGTTTTTTCTGTTTGGTTTATGTTTTTGTAGAGTATTATTCTCTTTATTAACAGTGTTCTTTTGATCATTTCTTGGTCAATTTTTTTGCACCAATTGGATGTACAGAGGTAGGTATGGTGTGTGGACAGCATTCTTGGCACTTCTGGTTCGGCTCTTCTTCTTTATTCCTGGTATGTTCTCTTTTCCATCATGCACGTGAACGCATAATATATAGGAGGTATTGAAGGAGAAACATTTTATGCTATAGATCTGAACTCTGAACTGTAAAACATACTTTATAAAGCCCCCATTTAATTGGTGGAAATCAACACAATCTTATTAGAACCTCGGTGGGTGAAACGTGAGAAAGAAAATCCTGATTGTGGACTGTAATAATACAAATAAGTTGTGTATTTTGTTTTTTCCATACATGTTGTATAGTGATTGAACACTGAAGGATGGAAACCTTTTCTTCTCAATCTTATTTATTTTTAGGTGAACTTGAGTTGCCATTTTTGGCATTGCTCTTGGTGATGGTAGCTCCATATGAGGCTATGAAATTAAGGTAAGGAAGTTCATCTTTTTTTGTGGACGTTGGGCTGTTGCCTCTTTTACCGTTTTTGAAAAATGTAAAATAATATGCTTCAACATCTTTCTTTGTCAGGGACACAAAGGAAGGCGCTGCGATTTCATTATTGATTGCGGTGTATCTGGCTTTTCAGCATTTCTCGAGAGCAAGCTTACAACAATCATTTGACCAAGGTTCAATTGTTGCCACTTTAGCTGTCATTGGTATCACTGTTGCATCTGTGTTGCTTCTAGTCTGAGTTGGCATTGAAATGATCTACACTGATATGTTGTAAATAAGAATAATACATGTTGGAATATGATGATATTATTCAGGGTAAAAAAGAAAAATATGGATTATGTTTGATACTCGATCTTGTACTTTTCTCTCGTTAATTAATATAATGAAGTTGGAATTAGTACTTGCTATTTGTCATAGAAATTGGTTTTAATACATGATGTTCTTTATATCATTGAAACTGGCCCAGACCAACTAGTTCAACTATTCTGACTAGGAACTGGTCACGCTTCCAGTCCAAAGCAATCATAAAACCGCCTTGTTAAAGAGATGTTTTGAAATAAACAATAAAATTAATATTGCATACGTACAGTGGCAAGTTAAGCATTCACTTGTATTGAATTAGCACACATTTGTTAGGTCTATGTAAAAGATAGCATTTGATGTAGTTAAGTTTTTGGTGCTTTTTTTTTAATTATTATCAAAATTGTTTAATAAAGATGACTACTAAAATTATCAAGCCATTTTATGTTGAGTGATTAAGTCCCCTGTTTTTATATATCCACTGTTGTGAATAAGGTAGATTTTTCCAAAGTAGCCTTCTGAGCGTCCTGGTTTCCATAATAAGCTGTTTTGAACCAAACACGGTTATTTTAAGTTCTTTAAATGTATTTTATTCTGTTTAGTAAATAAAATGGCATGCTAGCTGATATTAATTACAAGGATTTTCTATGGAAGAGAAGCTAATACTGCAGAAAAACTGCCTACTACCTATAAATCCTTTTGGCTTCATCAACTAACAGCCATACATAGATGAAAGGTAGAAGTAATTTTAATTGCAAGACTTGTTGACTCTGACCCTGAAATTTTGCAAAAAACTGCTGGAAGTCTGATTGAATTCCGGCGCATCACATAAAGAATGACTGGACCTTGTTTATCATCTAGATATAATTTGCTAGTTGAAGTGAAGCCAACAGACCACATGTGAACAACAGCAGCAAGGAATGAAATGCAGATGTGGCTGCATTGGGGCTTCCTGTTGGTTCTGCACCGTAGACTGTTGTTCCACCACCAGGAATTGTAGTTCCTCCTGTCGGGGTCATTGGAGTTGGTGGACTCGGTGGGCTGACATATGTTGGTGTTGGTGGTGGTGGACTAATGCTGCATTGATAAGATAATATATTAGGATGTGAAGGATTTATCTTCATTATAGGGTGAAAAAGAGATATAGGTGCTGCAAATTCTCACCTTGTTGACTTGGGTGATGCGTATTTGCAATTCCCACTACCTGCGATGGAGTTGGATGTTATTTTCTATTTTAAAGATAGAGAAGCACACCTAACCGACATAAAATAGGTAGGGATTGTTTACAGAAGCAGTTTAATCCCCCTGAAAAACAATGAAATAAATCATGCTCACAATCTCGAGTCACAAATTAATGCGACGAAAGTAAGCTAAGAAGACCGCTGAAATTTTGAGGGCATTCATCCCTTACTGAGAAAGGGGTTCAACAGACAGCGGCTGGACCTTCATTTACCGAAAGAACAGGTTTATGGAATAAAAACATTATTGTAGTTGGTGTCATGGAAGGGGGTTATTCCTTTTATATAATAAAATTAAAGATTTTATGAAATGACATCACTTGATGCCTCGGAGCTTTCTCCACAAATGAAAATGAGTTCCTGGTCTGGTACGTTATGGGTACTGAAATACTGTAATTTAGAAAATCTTAGACAGGTGCGAAAAAATACAGGTTAAATTTTTTAGAGCTAGAAACACGAGAGATGAGGTGATCCAACTAGAATTATTGGGTATATGTCCTTGTTGAAGTCCCTTGACTGCGTCTTGTGTTTTAGAAAGTTTGCATAAGAATCTGCTTTTTATTTGAAAGAAGAATAGTGACTTGAGCTATCCAAGCTGTACCCAAAATTCCCAACAGGTCTGATATTGGATGCGTGGTGTTATTTATTGGATACCTGATATGTGCCAGACACATGTCACCCCTGCCGTGCAGCTTAGAAAATTTTGGATGCAAAATTTTATTTGTGCATTTTAAGACACAACAATTTTAAATATCATGGTCACAACCAAGAAAATGATCACAAGAAGATAATCATGCATTAAGTTTAATGGAATTCTTACTTGGATCGTTGCTTGTAAGTGTTGCTGTTCCTCCGAATACACAGCTGGTAGGTACTGGATTCTTCTGGTAGTAGTCATTGAATGCATAGGAAGCATGGTCACGTACAGTGTTGGGGTTATAACAGCTTGCTCCAGTTTGTATTGCTGAGCAGTCTGCACCTCCATACCCACAAGCATAGTCAAGAGCAACCTGTAGAGCAGTGTCTGAAGCTCCTTGGCTAGCAACACACCATTGACCACCTGATGATGCAGGAGTAGTCGTGGTTGGTGTTGTGGGTGTTGTAGTTGGAGTTGTGGGTGTTGTGGTTGGTGTTGTGGGTGTTGTAGTTGGGGTTGTTGGGGTTTGCCCAGTTGTGTCAGGTGATTGAGGAGTTGTAGGGTTTCCCATATACGGATTTCCTGTGTCTGGAGTTGTGGGGTTGACGATGGGAACATCGTCCAATTGAGTGCCCAATTCCGATGATGAGAAGATTTCCTGGTTTTTGTCATTTCTTAATATTGTGGTTGTGGCTGTTCCTAGACCTGGAAAAGAAACGGAATTTAACTCTTAATAAGGAGAAATGAGAAAATTTGTTGAAAATATTAGCTAACCCGATTATATTTTTTTCTTCTTCTATCTTTGCCTCTAAGTTGACAGGGTGTGGATGAACTGAAGTGATTCTTGGACTCGTGTTCATTCAATACTTTTTTGATGCAAATGAGCTAAGTATATACCCTTTCTAAAGCTACCATCAATTTATGCAGATTGCACCTAATCAGGTTCATTACAGTTGTACCTAAAAGTATGCATGCATGACTATAATTTCTTAGAAATGAAAACTATCATCATTTGTACCTGAAGATAAACTTAGATTATATTTTGATTGATTGATAAATGCATGTAAAAAAAAAACAGCTTACTACATTGCTATTCCTTATTAATGGTACCTGAACCAAAGAAAAGACACAAGGAGAATATCGCGAGGTGCCAACTTCTAGCACCCATTACTGCAGGTTGGCTTGTGCTTGGATTGCAGGTGTTTGTTTCCGTCTTGATTTGGAGCAATGTTTACGAGCTAAGATTTATTAAACAAGGGTGGTTCGTTGTCCGTTCCTGTGTAGAGAAATTTCATTACATCTTTTTATATTTTATATATAATTATATCACGAAGAATCATAGCTTTCTTGGATCAAAGAGAGAAGAAAGAATATAAGCAAACTTGAGAAAGGAGACATAGGATAGTTGAAATAAGCAAGCAAGAGAAGATACAAATAGAGGGGGGAAAAGGTGCATGGCAAAGGAAAAAGGTGAAAGGGTGATCGTTTGATATTAAATCTGATGCTTGAGTGAGATAGATTGAGAGCTTCGATATATATATAAAATTTATGGGACGGTGATGTCTGCAACGTTCTTTCTCTTTTGTGCCATTCTTTTCTACTGTTTTATGGGACTAAACCAAAAAGGTAAAGCCTGTGCCACTGTGGGTTGCCTTTCAGGTTTGTAATGAAGAATGTTGTCTCCCTCATATTGTTATTATCCATCACCTCTTAAAACACAAGCCATTTTCTTTTCTCTGAATAACTAGTTCCTCTGGAATGTTTTCGAAGTACGATTCCTTTCCTAAGTAACTCAAGTTATGCTACTGCTACCTTGTCCAACAAGAACTTTGGATAATCCTGTCATGCTTAAGCTACCTTCTCTCAAATCTAAGTTGTCTATTGCAGAACTTAAGCAACTTAAATTATTTCTTCTATAAAATAATGGGGAAAAAAGGAAAATTGAAGTTAGAAAAAAATGGGAAATTCAAAATGAATCGGAAGCTGAAAAGATCCTCAATAATGCAGTTAGGACATATATAATTCCTTAAATATAAATAATAACACATTTGCAACAATCATGAAGAGAATATCAAAGGGAAGTCATAGGTGTAAATCCTGTATCATATTATCAAATAAACAGTTATGTGGCAGAGACACTTTTAAAGATGCGAACGAACATTAAACCATAACTAGATACTTCAAAAGAATCCAATGAATTACATTATGCTACGAAGTTTTAGCCTGAATATCTTTTATCAACAACTGCTGCGAAAAAAATAATAAGTGGTTTTATGACCATTTGTAGTGAATGTAAAAAATAGGAAGATAGAAATGAAAAATAGTTATTAGATACGTATTTTTGCATGTAAAAAACACTAAATAGTACAAACGCGGATGAATTAATTAATATAAATAAAATAGAGATTTTCTTTAAAAGAAACTCAAACAAACTAACATTATTAAAAGGAAAATTACTAAAAATACAGAAAGGAGGCACTGGAGTTGACTTGCCTGAAGGTTTTGAATCTTGTGGGTGTTGTGTGTGTGTATATATATTATTTTTATTTTTATTTTTTCAGTTCAGTAATCTAAACTCTATGATTATGTTATTATCCTTAGACTCTTAAATTTCTATTACTGTAATTAAATCACAAATTTATCTATTTATTTTCTGAGTCTTTCATCATTAATACAAATTTAAACTGTGCCTAATTAATGTCAAATAAAATGCATTTATTCAATTTTAAATGCTTTATCATTTACGCGTAATGAGTTTTCATTGAATAATTAATTTAAACATTGATTAAAATGTGAACTTAAATATCCTTCTTTAGATGAGACGCCGAGATGATGTGTTACGATAGAAAATATTGTCATAATGTGAAAGATGAGAGTTGAACTCCTCACACTTCTAACAATAACTTTTAATTATTAAATTAATTTTTAATATTTAAATAAAAGTTAAAATATATGCCTTAATAATAGGAGTGGGTATACGGACCAGTCCGGCCCATTTAAGGCCCGGTCCGTAATAGTCGCATTTTATACGGGCAGGATATGTCCAGTCCGTAAAATAAATAGACTTATTTTTTAAGTCTGTATCTGGCCTGTCAAAATTCACGGATAACAGACCGGTTTGCAGACCTAAATAATGGTTAAAAAAAATAAACTTTTAAAAAATAAAAATACATAAAATTAGAAGAAAAAAAATATTTTTTAGTTTATAAGCTAAATTTTATCATATTAAAATTTATCAATAGTTAAAATGGTTTAAAATACTAAATATTAAAATAAAAATAATTACAAATACTTAAATAATAGTATCAAACTTTCAATAATAAAAGCATCAAAATGTCATAAAAAATAATTCAAATGACAAATACATACTAACTAAACATAATTTTAATATCATAATAATTTAAAAAATTAAATACACAACTTAATATTAAAATCCTAATATTTAAAAATATTAATTAGTGAAGTCCGCAGACTAGCGCGCGAGCCCGCGAATTAAATCCACCAAATCCGCAGACGTCACGGGCCAGGTTCAAAAATTAGACATAATCATACGGATTTGAAAAAAAAAACAGGTCTGTTATCCGCGAAATCTACGGGTTTACAGACCGGTCCGCGGACCCGGGTCTATTTACCCACTCCTACTTAATAGAAACTAAAATTATACATATTTATTACTACTAAATATATATATATATATATATATATATATATATATGTGTGTGTGTGTGTGTGTGTATGTTAATATTGATAATATTATGAATTGATTGATACCGATAATATTATTAATATATTAATATCTTCTTCTTTTTATTATATATATTTTTTACCTATTTAAGTAATATAAATTATAAATTTATCCATATATCAAAAAATATATATTTACTTATGGTGGATTGGGTTCAATTTAGTCGGATAACTTATTTTGACAGCTCTAATATTAGTATACTTTTAAAAAAATATAAATTCATTATATTATATAAATATATTAAGAAATTAATTATAAATATATGATATAGTCTATTTGGGAATATCAAGTAAATTTGAAAAATGATGTAAATATAAATTTTAGTAATTACAATATGCAAATTAAGTAACCAATATTTATATAACATATTTATATTTTTTGTAGTGAAATATTTATATTTATTTAAAAGTACATTAATATATACTAATTTATATTAATTAAAATATTAGTTTACCTATAAATATTTTAATAATATAATTAATATTAGTTTATCAATAACATTATTAATATTAATAATATATAAATTTTATTTATTGAGTATTAGTAAATATGTCTTCTTTGATACATGAATAAAATTTACAATTTATATAATTCAAATAGGTCAATTATTATATAATTTTATAATATTATAAAACATAGTTTATTATTATACTAATAATATTACCAATATCAAGTTGTCAATATTATTATCAATAATAAATACAATATAGTTTATAAAAAAATATTTTTAGCAATAAATGTATTTGTCATTTTGCTTTCAAATGAAAGTATTTATATATAAAAGAAATTATTTTGTTTAGTGGTTAAATGTTGTTGAAAAAAAGGATTCAGAGTTGAATTCTCACCGTCTTTTATATTTTGATATTTTTTTTTCTCTTATTTTTGGAATTAGAATAGTACAATTGTGATATTTGGCATGAGGAAACAAAAGTGCATTAAAATGTGAACTTAAATTTCCTTATTTTTTTCTTCCATGTAGATGTGGTACTAAGATTTTAATTTATTTATAATCTCATGTAAATTCATAAACTACCTAAAATTTTCACGATTAGAAACAGATCTAGTTGATCCATTAAATTGATTAATTTCAAATCGTCCAGAGCTCTCATTATAATCATTGGATTACGTTTAAGGCTTAACATGATGAGTATTGAGTTTCAAAAAATAAATATTTCTGAGTATGTCATTCTTAACCTTTGAAGCAATTTTCCTTAGCAACATAATTGCTTCAATTCAAGTAGAAACTAGTTTTTCAAATGCCTGTATAAAAGGAACACAAGGATGGAGCCATAAAGATTGTTCCGTTGCAATGTGTTATACGCCTTTTTGTCTTATCAATTCTAATTTTAACAAGTCTATTCCATGTTCTACTCTACTATTTTTTATCCATAAAAAAAATTTACAATAATTGAATCTAAGTTTGCGTACTTTTAGAAACTTGCATTGATGGATTGGGCAGTCCTACACTAATCTGCTTTTCTTCAATTTATAAGAACTCTCTAAGTTCTACACAACGATTTTGATGCATACAAAGTTATTCCAATGTAAAAATTTAGCAAAATAAAACATGATACCTCAGAGGTACTCTTTCAACACAAATGAAATTGTAATAATCCTCAATTTCCATTTTCGTCACTGTTAATATGGTTATGAGTTATTTACAAATAAAGTGCCAATTTCCATGCATTCGGACAATCAAATAATAGGTCTGATACAAATTAATATTTGCGGGGTGCAAGGTATAAAAGGGAAGATAGTATCAAAAGGTTTATAAAAATGTATAGCAAAGCTTCTATATGTTAGTAGGTATTAAACCCAAGTCACCGTAGTTCTGCACTGGCTGCTTGAATACAAACTCTTGCATGCTTCCTAGGGTCATTTCTTTCTCATGTCATATCCACTTCATCTTGAATGGAACAGTTACAAATGTTCTAAGCCAATCCTTGCTCACAAATCTTGGATGTTAAGCCAATTAGCCAATGTATGTTTAAATTAAATGCCATTATAGCCAAGAAGGCTAGGCAGGTTCAGGCATATATATCTATATTAACCAGAAATTCTTGAGATAGATATACATGGCAGCATTCATCGAGGAGATTCTTCAAAAGTTTCAAATTAAATGATAAGGCCAAAGCAAAAGATTGCATTGGAATACCAAAGAAACTGCTTTATCCTTGTTGAGGCATACTGCATTTTTTAAGATGTTGGCTGATATCATCCCATGCTGCAGAAATGGGGATCAGATCATGACCCATGTTACCATCTGACTATGGAGGAGAAAAAGGAAAGTAAAAAATAATAATAATAATTGTACCTGGAAGTTTCTGGAAGTCAGGCTCTATTCCATTGCCGTTTATGTCCTTGTGATTTGGTGTTACATACTTCCCAACAGTGATAACCACACCAGATCCATCGTCAAGCTCAAATACAGATTGGATTAGACCCTGTTAGAAGCATTGCACTTTGAAGTGTCATGAAAAGAGCATTAGCCCGTTACAGCTACTCTGAATGCATCATGTAATTATACGTGTGTAAGAGCAATACAACCATTGCAAATATAACAATTCACATAAAGACGTCAATATGATTTTCTTCTATTATATTCCCTTTAGTAAGAGATGTGGAATGAAATAAAAAAAGAAAATTATAGAAGCAAAGAAAGCATTGCGCAGTCTTTGTGGTACTCCTTTAAAAATATATACACCATAAGATATTGCTAACGTATTTAAATGAAAACTGCATTCAAATGGACATGGGATTTTCAGAACAAAGGATGCAGATCAAAGTCTACATTATCGGTGATGGAAAAAATTCACAAACCTTGCCGTATGTGCGTTTTCCAACAAGAACGGCTCTACAATTATCATGAAGTGCGGAAGCAACCTGAAATAAATACAACACCTCTAGTGACATCATAAAAGTAAGAGTGAAAAATCAAACAAATTATATATTAAGAAATTGAGCCCCTCACTATTTCACTTGCACTAGCAGTTTTGTCATTTACTAAAATCTGCAAGGGTTCAAACCAAAAAAGAATCATAAGCCTTGTCATGAAGTCCAAAAAATGAGAATTCCACTGATCAATGGTATATAATGGCTTCAAAAGGAGACTATTTTAATGTTCGCTTGCATGACCTTGTTCAATATGACGAGAAAACACTTAATCACACACCAAGAATAACCTACCTAGATAATCAAACATAAAAGATCTCAACTTAATTAAAATTTTTAGCTAGTTAAGTGCAAGGGTAATGAAAATGTTCGGAAAACTAGAGCATTGTCTCAAATGTTCTTTAACTTTTTTTGTTTACAATGAATTTGACAATTTTTAATAATCAAGCCTACCAGGGGAGTCAGCAAGATTGGCCAAATGATGTCATTGGAGTATTGGACCCAAATCAAAAGCCAAATTTTCAAAAAATCCATTGAACGGTTTCCTAATTCTTTTCTCCAGTCTTCTTCTATCCTTTATTAGCTATCTCCCGTTTGATCTACTTTTCTTTCACATAGGACCACCTGTTGGATTTCTCCTCGGTCCTCACATTACCCAGCTATATTAGACAAGTTTCAATCATCTTCTCAATAAGGATGCTGCTCCATCTTTCTCCCAAATACACACTTGGTTATTAATATTATTCTTATTCTTAGATTTTCTAGTATGCCACTCATTCACCTTGACATTATCACCTCTAGTACAACATTTATACTTTTGCCAGTCACTTTGCCAACCTCACTATAATAAAGCAAAGCTACTCTTATAGCTATCCAATAGAATTTGCCTTTGAATTTAAAAGGAACTTTGTATAATTAATCAAAAACACTCGGATTCAAAAGCTTTTTTACACAACTTCTCAAATTTAGAATTCCAACTTGTCAAATTTGAAGGCATAAACTAAGCACTGGCTCCAGAACATGCCAAGTACCAACACTAAGGTGAAAAGGTATCTACTCAAATAGTGCCAATAAATCATTGACCTGTCATACATAACATATCCATCATAGTTTTCAATAGTAGGAAATTCTGTTACCCCTCCATGTGTTCGAACTCAAATCATTACCTATCATACATAATATATTCACTGTAGCTTCACACATTAAGTACCAGAAAACTACCGTACTGGACCTCTAAGTTAGCCCAATCTATTTTCCCACAAACCATATCAAATTGGGGAAGTTGGTTTATCTTAATAGGCTAAGACACAACATCTATAATTTTGCATATTGAACAAATCTCAAGTCTTTATCTGCTCCTGTATTTAAAGAAAAAAAAATCCACAACAAATTCAACGAATCTTAGGTTTTTCCCTACCTCTGTATTTTGGAAGGTATCGTTTGTAATTTCTAAAGTTTATGGTACAAAAGTTTATCAAATGAGCATCTAGAATCACCATTTATAAATCAATCAGACAAACAAATAAATGTCTTTGAACTACTCCTGCCACAATGATAAACCAAAATAGAAATTGAGAAGTAGAAATAATTCCATGAACTTAATTCAATGATAAAAAACTTCAGATATAGAATTTTTTTTACAACAACAGGAGCTTGAATCATTGGTGAAGTATCTGTAACAATAGCTTTCTGTAACTGAGGATCTCTTCCAACAGTGTAGATAACCTGTCATGAAGACATTGGAAAAGAACAAGTCCGCATTATGAAACTAAAATGTGGTCAAAAGAACAGTTGAATTAGTATTACAAGATAGCAGACCTTTTAAGACCAATATTTCCTACAGTATAATAAAATAAAATAACATACATACACCAGCAGAATTGTCAAGTGACTTGCACATGACATCAACACACTGCAAAAATCACAAATTACAAAAATAAAAAAGAAAATTTAAGGGATAAAAATGTTTAACCTTCAATAATATCATATTTTTGGGAAAAATATTTAAGTGAATAACTGGCGTACTAAAGATTTCATTCATTTGAAACTTCACGAGTCATTATTTTGAGTGACACATGATAATTTTATTAGATATTTAATGTTTTTCTTAAGGGAGAGTGTTTTTCAGTTTTCACACAATGTGAGGGTAAGGGGCATGTTTGCACCTTTTCAAACCCTAAGGTATCATTGGCATGTATGCAGAAGTTGAAGGAGGAGGTAAACAGAAAATTACCCTAAATCAAAACCATTACAATCAGCAATGAACATAAAACTGACATACCGTGTCTCCTTCATTTAGGAAAAGCTTTGCAATTTCAATTCCGGCCTGAATGAGTTAAAAGTTATAAATAAATTAGGCAATTTTAAAACGCAAAGAAAAACTACATTCACTAGAATGCAGGCATCATTTATCTTGTCATCTTACATCAACCAAAGCATGTGTAGGCACGATAAAAATTATTTAAACTTCTGAAAATAAGAGAATTGAATTTCTTGTTACCATGCCACAGTACCTTCCTGCAAAAGCAGGTGTCCACATGTGCAAACAGCCAAAATATGTACAATACAAGTGAATAGATGTAAATTCAATTTTTCCTCAAAGCTACCAATTAGTGACTCAAAAGTAAAGAATTTCAAAGTTCTAAATAAGTTCTCAAGTTCTTCTATGGTAAAGACACTTGAACATCTCAAATTCCAATATATGCAGATTTATTTTTTCTAAGAGTCAGAGATCTAGTAATCTGTGAAAAGGTAATTCTTTTAATCATTTGTGCAAACTACGATGAGAAAAATAGACAGAGTTGAATGTGGTTCAACCTACAGTAAACTATAGGGCTATATCAACAGGCAAAAAATGAGAAAAATCAGTATGACCTATGGACAATGAAGATTACAAGGAATCCCGTCAGCTCATGTCAACAATGATTCTTTCAAAATTTCTTGTCATATCCATGATTTCTATGTTCAAAACATATGCATATACATTAGAATGTTCATTTGATGACAACATACTTGATACACCATTTGTGCTATTTCCAGATTAGGTTATTCATATAAATTAACCAGATTATCATGTTATGGGAACATCTTAAAAGTTATACTGATGGAATGTGACCAAGACACACAATTATGATGATGGTTCACTCACACCCTGACAAAGATTTGAAAATAAACTTTCTGAAAAATGAACACTCTGATCTCTTTGTTTCATTGCCCTAAATATATAGAACAATTATAAGACCAAATATAATGAAATAAGCATAGAAGATTTCTAATTCAGAATTGACGCGTAGAAATAAGCATAGAAGATTTCTAATTCAGAATTGACGCATAGAAATAAGCATAGAAGATTTCTAATTCAGAATTGACACATAGATCAACATCAGCTTGCCATCTGGCTCACCATCTATGCTATCATTGACACTCCTGCAACACAGTCATACTCCCCCATGAATGGAGAGGCTGTTTCTATAACCAAAGCTCATGACCACCAGGTCACAAGGCACTTTTGTTTAGATTATCTCTACTTTAGGGTAGAAAACAATATAACTCACTAGTGTGTTAATTTCAAAGAAGTGAAACAAAATGGTAAGGTAGATAGGGTTATATGGAAAAGAAACCTGTACTAGCCCCCCAAGATTGTCTCTGAGATCCAATATGAAATATGAGGCACCCATGTCTTGAAGTCGCTTCATTGCTGCAACATCCATTATTTATTCTAGTGTCATGAATAAAAAACTGGAAACAACTCATGAAAGAGTCCAGAAGCAATAGTATCATACAAATGGTTATAAGGATCCAAAAAAGCAGCAGCCTCACTTTACTGTTCAACTATTCATTTAACAATGTACGATTTTCATTCTTGCAGGAGTTACATAGCCCAGATGACAAATATTTATACTACCAACAAAATAAGGTTAAATAAAAAAAAAAAACAGAAGATCAATGTCAAGTGGTCAAAGGCAAAAAGTGTTCTTAATGTGACAGGGGTTTTTAATGCCTTGAGGCACGAAGCACCAAAAAAGTCACAACTTACTAAAGATAGGGATTACATTAGAAAAAGAAAACAGTAAAATATTAGAGTAATTTTGCGTTGATTTTCCATATATGGTGTGTTTGCATATGCGTTACCAACACTCATGTCTCCCTATTTTTCATGTCAATGGCACCAAAATACGCTCTTTGTAGTTTCTGGTCTAAGGGTAAGAGACTTGTTTCCAAGGAAAATAAATCAAATTTTCAGTCAAAGCATTCAATGATAGCAGTCATTAATTGACTTCTAAGTCAAGATATGGTAAAAGCATAGAACATACCCATATAGTATATTGTATTCCCTCCTTTACAAGTAGCATACATATATTTTCTCTCGTCAAAACTTAAGAATATATATCAGTAATCAGTTGGTCTCAAAATTAATATAGCATCATTCAGAGGAAGAATTAGTAAAAGAAAACTGTTAATTATTTTTCCACTGCTTTTACAGGCCAAATACATGTATGCATATTAAAAAAATGCTCTCATTGAGAAACCATCATTATTTTAGTTCAAAAAGCTAGAGATATGAAGTTAAGACAAGCTGACCAATGACTAAATCTTTTCTGGCCAATGCATTGAACTCTTTGAGGCGTATATACCCCACAGGAGTAACACCATCCAATTGTTCCAGCCGATAAAAGACTGGTGTACGAGCAACAAGTTGCCGCTGGACTTCTATTGATTCAACAGGTCCACAGTTCCCATGCTTGACCTGAGAGTAGTAATGCTAATATTAAACTTGAACATAACATCAAATAACATTGAATACAAGAATAAAAGAGGCTAGAGCAGGTGCCAAACTAACTTGGAATTAGAATCCAAAACCTGAATAGTCACAGATGTTCCATTAGGACCTTGCAACAGGGATGATACTTCAAATGCTGATTTTCCCTTTACCTCCATGTTATTGACAGCCAATATTTCATCCCCCTAGCAGAGAAACAGATAAAATATAGGAAAATACTATTGAACATAGTCATTTGTACCTAGCCCAATTGCTAATACTAGGAGATAAACTAAAGGACAGAGTATATGCTGATAAATGGTAAAGATACGGGAGCTGTTTTGAATGGTCAAAAGAACCAAAATACTTTTGTTCACCTATTTCTATCTAACAGTATACTGGCATCAAATGCTCTTGCAAACACAAAGAAATGCATTATATTCTGTTTCTAGAAGTAATGGAAATGAGAGAAGGAGAGATTACTTATGTAGCTATTGTAATACATAGCATGATTAATTTAACATATATATTTCATTGATTAAAAACATAAAAGTGAAGACAAGAGAGATGTAGGTGTAGATTTTTGAAGGTGGAGAAGATGATGATTTGAAGATCTACAAAATCTGAAGAATGTTGATCATCTTTGTGTACCTGTCTAACACCAGCAGAATGAGCAGGACCATCCAATATAATTCCCAGTACCTCCAGTCTAAGTTCTCCATTTTCATCCGGAACTTCCTTGAGGTTTATTCCAACACCAGTCATGTCATACCTCGCCATCTTGGAGAACTTTAACGGTGAAAAAAGCCATATACCATTCATTAAGCAAGAAACGTGAGAAGCACAGTAGTAGAAATCACCACAGTCTATATAATCATACATAATCAAAACAAAAAACAGTGAAGAGAATAATGATACAAAAATACATCACAAGTTTCTTATTCATTGTATTAAATGAAAGGGTCGCATTCAAAAAAATAAATGAAAGGGCAGCAATATTTTGGAGGACTACATTTTTCAGAAGATTTATACATAATGTGTGGGTGCAAATTTTCCTTTTAAACGATATTTGTTAGATTTCATCTTAAAATGAATTAGCAATAAGAGAAGTTGTCCACCAGGTATATATGTTGCATCTCAAGGATTGAGCCATGTGATACTTTCCAACACCGTCACTAGAGATCCCACAACGACATAGTATATAAGTAGGAGACAACTCCCACATGTGATAGCTTTTGGTGTTGAGTTTGACCCAATCCCAAATTCTAAGACAATGTTAGAGCCTATCATGGTTGTTGTTAAACTTATCACACCACCCATAGATATTCAATCCTACCTCGAGATGTCCATCTCACATTAACTAGTTAGATGATTAAAATAGTGTATATATTTGTATAAGGCACCCCATAGCTATGAAGTTAGCTTTATCTTTTGCGATTGAGTTAGGCCAAAACTCCAATTCCAATTTCCAAGACCCCCTATGCCAGCTATATTTACAACACTAACACTAGTGTTCAACAAACACAGTAAAAAAATGCATGAAAAATGGAAGAATGAACTACCTCATCAGGGGAGAGAAAGCGTGAATAAGGATCACCCAAACTGGCGAGCATTCGCTTGATGATTTGGTGCGCCTTTGATCTGGTCTGAATGGAGTTGCTCAAAATAGCTTCCCTCTTGAGCTGGAAACAAGAAGCGGCATATTATGATGTAGCAAGCAGAGAGAGAGAGTAGAGTAGTATTCGTGTTGTTGTTGGTTACATACTTGCCAAGAATCGAGGGACCAGCGGTGGCGACCGGTGTGGAGAAAGGTGTCGTTGACAATCTGCCACGCTTCCTCGACGAGGCCTTGGTTGGTGACGACCTCGTGTTGCAGAGGGTCTAGCTGGCGACATGTTTGGAGAGCAGAGACGGAGGGGAGGGAGAAGATGAGGCCGAAGGAGAGGGCGGCGCCGAGGAGCGTGTTGCGGAGGAAGGTGGTGGTGGTGGTGGTGGGAATGGGAAGAAGATGAGGTCTTGAGAGAGGCGGAGGAGGTGATGGTGATGGTGATGTTGGTGAGAGTTTGAGATACACATAGCCACTCATCTTCTTCTACTTAGTTGGCATTCTCTTCCGTTTAACAATGACATGCTGTATGTATCAACTCAAGAATGGAACGTCGCAACTTCACTCGTTATGTAATCCATAGCTGCATGTGGATCCCACTCATCCACTCGCCAACACCTCTTCTTCGGACTCAGGAGGAAGGGAAAACCACCTTTTTTTATTTTTTATTTTTTATTTTTTCATTTCACCGACACAAGTACAAAGTACTAGAGAAACAAATACCGGTTTGCTTTTGGGTTTTAGATACTTTTATTTGATGGCTTATAGATGGGGTACTTACCAATGTGCTTCCTGTTAGAATTTTCCTAGTAAAAAATGGATGGATGATGAATATGTGACACTATTAATATATTTTGATTGTTTTATTTGCATAAAATTTACTTTTTAATCTTTACATTTTGAAATTACTCATTCAAGTCTTTACATAAGTTAACTTTTTTATTTGTAGTTATCATCAACTTTTTTCTTCTCTTCTTTTTCCTTGTCAACACCCCTTCCTCCTTTTATTTATGTGTTTTGTTTCTTTGAAATTCTCTATGATTATAATTGGCCTTAAACCTTAAACTTTATATCATAATCTTGGGATCATAGAGTTCATACATGCTTAATACAAGATAATGTAATTTACAAGTAACAATTATATCAACATTTTATAAAATGATATAGAACTATTGATTATTTTAATCTCACTACATGACACATTTTAGAATACTATAGATTAAACATTTTTTGCATCATTTTAATCTTTCTATGTTAAATACTTGGATACTTGTATCACTGTTGTGTGAGAACTTTTTTATTTTATTCTTTATAATCATCTTGCATGTAACTTTGTTATTTACAAGTTCTCTAGCATTATTAAAAATCCAAAATTGATTATGTAAACTTGTTGAATTTTGTTTTAACATATGTTAAAGTGCAAACAATTTTAAAATAATAAAAATTTCTTCACCCATCACCTCCAAACACAATTCTTGCAATAGATGTATGGTGAAAGCATTTTGTAACCTAGAAAATTATTCATCAAGACTAAAACAATGTAGCATATCTTTGTTATTATAAGGATTGATAACAAAAATTGTGACTCTCAAATTACTTTATTTTAACCCAAAAGTATATTTAACTTTATCCACAATGAAAATTATTTTGTGTAATAGAATTTAAAAGAAACCAAAGTTACACAAAAGGAGATTAATAGACAATTGAAAAATAAATATTACACTCATTCTTATTTATAAAACTTAATTTAAAATAATAATTTATTTTTTTATATATAAAAACTTGATTATCAGTGATTGATCTATAAATTATTTTTAGATTAAACAATAAACATTCTCCAAGTCTCCAACAATTGCCAAACTAGCCTATACCAATAGGCTCAAAACGTTTATTTTCAATTCAAATTAGCTTACCCCCTTCTCTCTCTCTCACACACACACAACACATCTTATCTCCACTTGTATACATGTATGGTGAAGTTAGAGGCAATGTCCGGCGTTCCTCTCTTCAACCTCGCTCCTAACCTCACCGTTTCCAGGCTCTGCTTAGGTTACCTTTCCAACCCATTCAATTCAATTCAATTCAACGCTTCATTTCACTCACACACCACACACCACACACCACACACCACACTTGTGGCAGGAACCATGACTTTCGGCGAGCAGAACACGCTCGCCGAGTCCTTTCGCCTTCTCGACCACGCCTTCCACGCCGGCATCAACTTCTTCGACTCCGCCGAAATGTATCCCGTCCCTCAGCGCGCTCCCACGTGCGGCGCCAGCGAGGAGTACCTCGCCCGTTGGATTGCGCAGCGAAATATCCCAAGGGACCGCCTCGTAATCGCCACTAAGGTTCTCTTCTCTTCGCTGTGCAATTTGCATCTTGCATTCTCTCTTTTCTTTCGCTCAACTTCTTCTTAATTTTGTTTCTTATCTCATTACTAGGTTGCTGGACCTTCCGCCCAGATGACTTGGATTCGAGGAGGTCCTACATGTTTGGATGCTGCTAATATCACTCAAGCCATTGATAATAGGTTTGTTAATTACTCTCTTAACTCTTTCGAATTTCACGTCATTCTCTACTTTTTTATATCTAGTAATAAAATATGATGGCTTTTGTTGTTGAATTTATGCAGTTTGTTGCGGATGCAAATGGATTACATTGATCTTTATCAAATTCATTGGCCTGATCGGTTTGTATGTTTTTTCCAGTTTAAGTTTTTGGATATTTGTTTACATTGCTTTCTGGTTATTACTTGTTGGTCGGCTTTCTTGTTTCAGTCCATATGAATGTGCATAGATGGGTCTTAACCCTTGAAATGTTACCCCAATCCTTGTAGATATGTTCCGATGTTTGGAGAAACTGAGTATGACCCAGTCCGACAATACTCTTCTATTAGTATTGAAGAACAACTTGAAGCTCTCAGCACAGCTGTGAAAGCTGGGAAGGCAAGTGGTGGTGTTGAATAGTATCATTTGTCAAGCTGTCACTATCGTAATTCCTGAATCATGATCTGTGAGTATTAAAATGAAAGCATTTTCTTTTCAGATCAGATACATTGGTCTTAGTAATGAAACACCATATGGCTTGATGAAGTTTATTCACATTGCTGAAAAGTATGCTTCACACCTGAAGATAGTGTCTCTGCAGGTTTTATCACTTACTACTGATCAACTCCTGCTGTATTTTTTGTTTTGTTCGTGGAACCCTCACACTCAGCACTACAATTTCCTCTATGGAAGTTTACTTCTGACACTTTTTCTTCTGTTTAGTGACAGAATTCATATAGCCTGCTGTGCAGAACTTTTGATTCTGCAATGGCTGAATGCTGCCATCAGGAGAGGTATTTAATATTATTGTTATATATAAAATCATTTATGTACCTTTACCCAGCAACTGTCTTTTGGGGTGATTCATAACATGTTATGATTGGTATCAAAGCCTCTAGGATTAAGCGATCTAGAGTTTGATCTTTGTTAAACTTGACCCTATTTTTCTAGAAGGTAGGGTGGGCTAGTGCTTTGTCCACTCGTTAAGCCTAAAAGTTGCGAAGGGGGACATGTTATGTATAAAATCATTTATGCATCTTCAACCCAACAACTTGGGTTTCTAGGATGGTTCTTTCATAGCAATTATTAAAACACAAGTTTGGTAATGTTTGATTTGGGGCTTCCTGAAAGAAGCCTATCCAAGATGTATTCTGAGAAGCTTTTACTCATTGATATACAACGTTGCACGTTTGAGGACATAATTGAGAAGGCATAATGGATTAAACATTATCATTCAGATTTATATTATATAAATCAGCTTTAATACAAACAGTGGTAAAATTCCATGTAATTTAGATGGATGGAACGATGGAAGCTTAATGCATGAAAATTTCTTTTTAACTTTTACTACATTTGTTGGCCTAAATTATTTCACTGCATTTTCAGTGAAAGCCTCGTTGATGGTTAATTAATTTCTCTTTTCAGTATTAGCTTTTTGGCCTACAGCCCCCTGGCAATGGGTATACTCTCAGGGAAATATTTTTCAGCAGATGGTGGTCCAACAAATGCTCGTTTAAATCTTTTTAAAGGTTAATTTGATATATGTTTTGTTTCATCAAGCATTTTCACCTCTTGCCTTCCTTTTCAACATGAAGGAAGAAATGAAAAAATAAATGTTTCTGGTATGTATGAGTTTATCCAACTGATACAATTGTTATTATAGGCAAGTATTCAGAAGGAGAATCTAGATACAACTTGTCCAACAAAGTCATAAAGGCAGCTACCATGGTAAGTGAATTGTCATCAACATTGTTGCCAAGATAATATTTTGATTAGCTTATTGGAATCTGAATGTTACATTTCCCTAGTTTTCTAAAACACATTTTTGCATGTTTTGATTAGCATATATAATTTTTTTTCTTAATTTAAGAGCATGTGATGTAGTTTGAACAAGGAAATTTTTTTAATTTGATGCTATAGTTTATCATAGGTGTACATGGTTGGACAATGTTAATTAGAATCTCCTGTTCCTATTTATTTTTTATGTTTAGTGTTAACTAATTTTAATCTCCATATCCGTATATTTCTTCCCTTCTGCAGGAATACCTAAATATTGCAAAAACATATGGTCTTCATCCTGTATCTCTGGCTATAGGTTTGATAATCTTTTCCTAGATCCTTCATGTGCAACCTCACCCCCTTATATATTTGTGTGGTTTGCGGTAGGGGTAGGGGTAGGGTATCTTAGTTATTTGCATGACTTCCAACGCATCAGATACTAAATCATATGGCGGGTCAATCATATTGGTTGATAGTTGATACCATTCACAATTACAAGGAGGGGTTGCTAATACCTAAAGTAGTTTGGTAGCTGCGCTTTAACTGATTTTGCTTTTTTCTAGTTTCATGCATATGTTTTAAGTGAATTCATAGGTAATCAATAACACTGCTTATGTAGAATTCCATAATTCCATAATGGGCAGTCTGTTGACTGTCAATAGTAATGCTGATAAAAATTTGGTTAATGGGGATAAGTCATGCCTTCAAAGTTGGAGTTTTCGCTCCTTCGCTGCTTAATGATATTGGGTGCCGCACATTGGGTTCTCCTTCTAAATAAACAAGAATGTTACGGTTTCTTAAACTTATTATTTTAAAAGGAAGCCAAAAAATGGTTAATTTACTAAATTTAGTTGTATCATAGCTTAGCTGAAGATAGTTAACGATGCACTTGCATAATGCAATTTTATCCATCATTCGCAATTGGCTCGTGCTTTTCTCACTTTCTTTCAAACATCCATTGTTAGAGGTTGTGAAATTGTGGCACACTAGTTTATCTATTTTTTTTGCGTATCAGATTTCCTTTTCTATTTTACCCTTATTTATTTTCCTGTTCTTTTGTTTTGACCAGCCTTTGTTTTGCGACACCCCCTTGTTGCTAGTGTTATTTTTGGAGTTACCAAATCATGGCAGCTTCAGGAGGTTCTAAATGCATGCAAGATCGAGCTCACATCGGAAGTAATTGAAGAAATTAACAAGGTTCATTCAAGGTTTCCAAATCCATGCCCCTGATGGATGCAAATAATTAACTATGATGTGTCTATCTATATTTTCCAGGGATTAACTCTTTTCCACAAATAGTAATGGTTTTGAGCTTAGGGTGAATAATTGTCCCGTTACAAAAAACATCAAACAGGTAGTTTGGTTTGCAGTCCGCTGATAACTGATTAAATTGAATACTGTTGAAGCTTAATAAGATGAAATCATGATGATTGAAAAGTATACTTCATGTTTAAGACTCAAATGATGCTGCAATTATGTCATTATAATAAGAGGCAGATTATAGCACCCATAATACAAGACTTAATTCGCGACCAGAAAATAGAGAAGGCATAATATAAAAAGAGAGCATCATTGAGTGAGAGTGATACTATGCTTTAAACAAATTTTTAAGTATACGCAATAACTATGATAAATAATAGTATCAATCATTGATGTATTCTTGGTGAACCAATGCTCTTGTGGGTCTCACTTTTACTCCTGTGCCACGTATTTGAAACCCACATCCGATTATTCAATGAACATAGTACCAAACCTGTCTTCATTTGGTTTAACAACCATATTTTCGTAGATTTTTAAATCTTTTTTGCTTACAGAATATTGCTTAGGTTATTTGCATCTATACGCTACTATGTCTCGATGCATTTAGACTTGAAAATTAGAAAGCGAAAGTATTTATAAGAATATGTCTTGTTCGCATAGCCTGTGACCTAAACGCATATCTCGTTTTTAACTGGAATTGAATACCCTTTGCCAATATAATGTCTATTAAGACAATCTAAATTTAAATTAAGAGGTGAATAAAAAAAATGAAATTAAAAGGAAGATTCGAGCTTTTAGGGTTAGTTTGGGAGAACTAATGTAAGAGATAATAGAAAACTTATGAGGTGTCTTAGAGTTTATAAGTTAAAATGTGAGAGTTGGAGAGTTAAAAGTTGGTTAATTGGATTGGAAGTGTTTTATCATATTAATAGATTAATTATTAGCTGAAAAATGAAAAATGAAATAAATGACATATAATTATTTAATTATAGCTTTAATTAAGGGAACCATGAGTGTAGAAACATATAATTTATAAGGAGTTTATTTATTATGTATAATTTTAATATTTGAATTTATTTACAATAATTTATATTATAAAGGAACGATGATACGATGAGTAAAATATAAAAATTTATTTGTTCAACAAGAATAGATTGTGATACTTTGTTCTTTTTTCTACTATATATCTTTTCTCCGAGATTATTTTGTATGTATGTGTATAAGTTTATAGTTAGGTATGTAATATGAATGTCTTTTGGACATGGTAAATATTTATGCGTTAATTCCTATATAATTTTATATTAATACAAATGCATTGATTATAAGATGGATTCAATGATGGATAACCATCTTAAGTGGTTTAACATGTATGAAAATTATCTTTTGGATTAATATATCATTCACACTTTTATGCTGTATCATTTACACCCAATTATTTTTGTCTCCTTTTCTTCCTAGCCATTGCCATAGACTACCATGAAGACGATTTTTGATAGTGGTGCTAGTTTTTTTTCTCTCTTTTTTTTTCTTCTTCATCTTTTTCATCCCTTTTTCCATGAGTGTGGATTTGTTGTGATGCACAGTGCAAGCCTATCATGACATTATGGAGGCACATAAGTTCATATCTACCACGAGACAATAGAGAACGGGCAACTATGAATCAACAAAGGCACAAGTGTTTGAATTTTTCATTATGAGCACAAATCTGCCACAATTAAGAAGTTACGACTTATGATGACCATGGATCTACTACAACAGAGAAGTTACGATGACCATGGGTCTATTGCAACAAAGAAGTTACAAAGGTTGTGGATGAAAATATACAAGATAAAACTCTCTTTTTTTCATATGTAGTCAGGGTGGCACAAAGGTGAACATAGAGAAAGGGAACAAGTAGATAATGAAGGTGGAGGAGCGCAACACTTTCAATGACATGTAGCGACTAGAGACAAAGATCAATGTGGCAACAATGCAAGCTCAAACACTCGTTTCACTTCCAGAGCCTATTGTGCAACATGGAGATACAAAGGCATAGGTCAAATTGTTGATGACATTGGTAGCGAACAAATGAGGCCTAAAGGGATGGAGGAAGGGAGTTTGAAAAAAAAAATCAGTATAAAGGGTACATGGTATAACTATGTAGCTTAGATAAATTTAGTGGTGAATAATTGTGGTCCATTGTAAACCACCTATTACACTGATCTACTCTAGCTCTTATTTGATTATAATATCAATTTGTGTATGTAAATTGAAATTTAACATACGTATCTTTCATCTTCAGTACTCCAATGACCTTTTAATACAACTTCAAAAATATGGATGTGTGCAATTGAAAACTTCCTAAAATTGGTTTAGGACTCTTATTTAAATTAAGATTGATAATACCCTGACTTAGGATAAGACCCCAACTATTATCCTTTATCCACATATATTTTATCTACCAAATAATATTTGTTTATCAAAAATAAAGGAAAAAAGTATTAGTCTTTAAAATATTAATTCAACAAGTCCTTAATTGAAAGAAACATTAGTTTATTTTGAAACTATGAAGCTAGGAATGACAAGCAAACTTATACATGCGGGTAATGTTCAAATTCGTTTCGACTTTTATAGAAAATAATCGATTTGATCGTGCATAAATATAAGCAATACTTGATTTATTAAATCAAGTACAATGACAAAAATGTGTATATATTTACTCACCCTACATTAAGTACTTGCGAATTGTAACAAAAAAAATAAAAGTTTACAAATTTAATAATATAAAATAATTTTCTCACAATAGAAGACTTGCACCCAATCTTGCACCCTCAAAATAGACCAAACATAACTGAAACCCTTTACTACAACTATCAAAGTGGATAATTTAGTCTAACTCATCACGGGTTGAGTAATAAGTGAATCAATCCAATTTGACTTGGCATACCACATTGGTGGATTAAATGAATTTACTCACTTACATTATATATATATTAAACTTTATAAAAAAATACACATTATAGTTTTATATTGTATAATTACAACCGTGTTAATAATTAGATAAATAAAATAAAAATCAACCACAACTAACTTAATCAATCTATAATATTAAATAATAACAAAGTTATTCCATAAAATATTGACAAATAATATCAAACTAATACTAATTATCATAATTCATAACTAGTATATACAAAATTTAGTCAATTATATAAATATATAATTACATAAATTAACATTTAAAAATCTTAAAAATGAAATAAAAATAAAATGCATACTAGGTGGGTCAACTCGTGAATCAACCACTTTTGTTAGATCGCATTATAAGTGAGTCAAGTTAAAATTCTCCTATATAAAATGAGCCAAAAAATTTTGGCCCCAACTTGACTCAAATTCATAGTGGGTCGAATTGATTTATGGATTCCAACTCAATTTGACAATTTTATGTTTTATATATCTATTTAATTCATTTTATAATCTTGACTATATTGATGATGTGTTAAACATATTAAAATATAGAATAATTATTAACTTTTAATTATTTTAATAATTCATATATTTAATATTTTCTATAAATAAATATATTAAATTTTATCAAAATTATTTGATATATATTTATTTTAATTATATGGTAATTTTTTTATGAAATAATTATACTTATGAAATTTACATATTGAAACCGTGTAACATAGAAAGTAAAATACTATATATTATTAAATATCGGTATCTCTAATTTATTTCATTCCTTTTTCTAAGCGAAAGTCCAACACTCATATAATCTATAATTTGATTTTTTTATAATTAAAATATATAATTCTTTTGTATTTCATCAAATGCCTTTTTAAAAAGTTAAAGAATTACATCTAGTAGTATTAAAAAAAAAAATTACATCTGGTTGTAACTTCATTTTTAAGTGGAGTCTAGCTAGTTATTGATTAAGAAACATGCTAACAACTTTAAAAACTATAGTAATCAGATTAAATGAACTAATTATATTTTATTAAGAATAATAAATACTGGTATCACTCCTTTAAATAACGTTAGAAATTAATTTATATTTATAGATACGCCCACTCCCATAAAATTAATCAATGTTAATGCACTAAGCAGAAACAAATACCATATTTACAATGATGATGATGATTTTCGCAAATTGATTAATGGTTATTTTCCAGGGAAAAAAAGAAAAAAAACACGAAAAACTCCGAAGAGAAAAGGAGGGTTTTGTGACGTTTCGTCTCTCTTTCCGTTTTGGTGTAAATCATAGATAGAGAGAGAAAGTGAGTGTGAGTGTGTGAGAGAGAGAGAGAGAGAGAGAGAAAACGCGCGGAGGCAGAGATACTTTCATCGCGGCGGAACCCTAGCGAGGAGAGCGGTGGGGGCGGCGGCAGATCGGAGCGCGAGCGAGGAGGATGAGCGGCAAAGGCGGCGGTGGGGGCCACAAGGGTGGGATTCCTCCGGCGAGTCGGAAGATGGTTCAGAGCCTGAAGGAGATAGTTAGCAACATCCCTGACCACGAGATCTACGCCACCCTCAAGGACTGTAACATGGACCCTAACGAAGCCGTTAGTCGCCTCCTCTCTCAAGGTACAACACTGCACTAGGGTTTTTCAATTCAATCACTCCTTTTCCTTCCTTCGCACGTGCCTACTCTCGCGTAACTTCGTTTCTCTTCCTGCAGATCCTTTTCACGAGGTCAAGAGCAAGCGAGAGAAGAAGAAAGAGGTGCGTCTCGAGTTGCGTTCAGTTCAGTTCGTTTTTTTTGTTTTTTACTATTTTGCTTTTGATGCTCACTGGCGAGGTTTTATGCTTCTTTTTTGTTGTTATTCAGAGCAAGGACCCGACGGATTCCAGGTCTCGTGGAATAACCAATACGTCTAGTCGCGGCGGCGGCGGCGGCGGTGCTAGGGCTGGTGCTGACCGCTATGTTGGACGTGGTGGTGCAACTCAATTCAGTAGCAGTGGTGGTAAGTGGATGCTGGTTTCTATTTTTGAATTATGTTTTGATTAATTGTTTTTGGTATAATATAATACTACTCTGGACTATATAAAGTTTATGTATGTATTGTTGTTGTCATGATGATCACATATGTTTGGAGGTCAGATTCTGGTCTCCTGCAGGGAAAGACTGCATTCAAAAAGGAAAATGGAACGCCTGCTTATGGAGCTTCTACCACTACTGCATCTAGCGCA